TCATGGACCTCGGTGGAACGGTCACGGAGGAGGATTGGATTCTCACCTTGCTTTGCGGCCTTCCGGAAGAGTGGTCGACGGTGATTACGACACTCGATAGCGTGCAAGACACTTGGACGAAGGAAATGGTGGTTGGTCGGCTTCTCCATGAAGAATCGCGTCGCCGACAATTCGCTAATGAGAGCGAGGGTGCCGCCATGTACTCCGGAGGGAGTTCCGGAAAGAAGTCCAAGTGGAGCAAGGACGCAACGAAGGAATCGTCCGGTGGGAGCGAGCATCGCGGCAAGTGTCACTATTGCCGCAAACCGGGACACTTTTGGCGTGAGTGTCGAAAGCGGCCGAGCGATTGGACTCCATCGATGGCGCGGGACCAAGAGGGCAACGCGCACACGGCATCCGGCGAGGTCGATGATTCAAAGGAGTCGCTCGTGTTAGTGGCCGGCAACGGGAACAAAACTCCAAGCGACGCGTGGTTCCTCGATACCGGCGCAACGCAACACATGACGCACTCGGCGTCGCTCCTCAACAACATTGGCGCTCCGGGAGACGTCACGAGCATCGTGTTCGGAAACAACGAATCGCTACCGGTGGTCGGAGTTGGGAGTACGCGCCTCATCGTCGATAGCGGTCCGGTGGACGTGACGAACCTGTTTCACGTCCCGGGGGTGAAGGTGAACCTTCTACCCGTCCCGCAACTTGCGAAGAAGGGAGTGATCGCCACGATCGACGGTGCGAAAATGAACCTCTTTTGGAAGGGGGAGCAATTCGCGCAAGGTGTTCTCAACGGAGATATCTACCAACTCAAGACGTGGTATCAGAGGGCGGCATGTCTGCCGCCTTCCTGTGTATGGGCCCACCACCCGCTTTCGCTGCCGTACTGTCCGCCGCGCACCACGGGGCGCGCGGCGGCGAAACCCTAATTTCTGCCCGCCGCGCGCTCGGGGCGCCTGGCGGTTTTCCCTTCCGTGGCGCCCGTCGTGGTGCCCTTGGGGGGGCCTCCGCGGTCCCCTCCCGTCGAAGCGCCCGTCGAGGCGCTCTCGGGGACCCGCGCGGCCTCCCCCCCCGTCGCCCGTCGAGGCGACCTCGGGGACCCGCGCGGCCTCCCCTCCCGTCGCCCGTCGAGGCGACCTTGGGGGCCCGCGCGGCCTCCCCACCAGTCGCCCGTCGTGGCGACCACGGGGGCCGCGCGCGGTCCCCTCCCGTCGCCCGTCGAGGCGACTTCGGGGGCCGTGCGCGGCGCCCTCCCCGTCGCCCGTCGTGGCGACTTCGGGGGCCGTGCGCGGCCCTCCCCGTCGCCCGTCGAGGCGACTTCGGGGGGCCCGCGCGGCGCCCTTTCCGTCGCCCGTCGAGGTGGCTCTGGGGGCCCGTCGCGGCGCCCTCCCTGGTGCCCGTCGCGGCGCCCCGGGGGGGGGGGGCGCGCGGCTCCCTTCTCGTCGCCCCTCGGGGCGCCCTGGGGGCCGTGCGTTTCCCCCCCCCGCGGCCGCCCCTGGAGCCGCCCTCCACTGCAGCAGCAGCCCCTGGAGCCGCCCGCCAGTGCAGCAGCCGCCCCTAGAGCAGCCCGCACCTGCAGCAGCCGCTCCTGGAGCAGCCCACACTTGCAGCAGCCGCCCCTGGAGCAGCCCGCACCTGCAGCAGCCGCCCCTGGAGCAGCCCGCACCTGCAGCTGCCGCCCCTGCAGAAGCCCGTCCCCCCCCCCCCCCCCCGTGCTGCCCATTGCTCCCATTCCACCGTGCGTTCCGCGGTGGTTGGGGTGTGGGGTGGCGAGCATGGGGGTGAGAGGTGTGGGTTCTCCCCTCCTCCTTTTTCGTCTCCCACTGCTGCAGCTGCCGCTGAGGGGGGTGGAGGTGTGGGAGTCGTGGGGAGTGGCACTAGGGGGGTGATGTAGGAATGGAGCTAGGGGTGAAACAGGGGGTGTGTGAGAGGGGTGTGGGACTGTTGGGGGAGGTTGAGTGGAGGCTGCTGTCTTGTCGTCCGCAGCACCTGTAGTCCGGGGCGCACTGTCCTGGTAGCTCAGAGAGCCTGCTGCACCTGTTGCCCGTGGGTCCGTTGCTCCTGCCGCTCGTCGCAGCCGCAGAGCCTGTTACTCCTGTATTCCGGGACGCACTGTCTCGGTAGCCACTGAGAGCCTGCTGCACCAGTCGCCCGTGGGTCCGTTGCTTCTGCCGCTCGTCGTAGCCGCAGAGCCAGTTACTCCAGTATTCCGGGGCGCTCTGTCTCGGTAGCCACTGTGTCAGCTGCCACTGTGTCAGCCGCTTCTGTTGCCCGTGTGTCTGCAGCTTCAGTCGTCGCCTCCCATCTTCTCTCCTTTCATAGTCCCTCCTCCTCCTCACTTGCCCTCTGTGATAGCCTCTAGCTTTGCTGATAATTATGAACTATTGCTATGACTGCTCATTGTGCTGATTACACCCCACTTTGGCTATGGGGGTGTGTCAGAATATGTTGTTTGTGTAGCCTGCAGTGGGGTACTCTATAGTGAGTACAGCCCCTTAGGGTTTGCCATTTGTATCCTGCTGCTTGCTAGTTCAATCATTCCTTCTCAAAAAAAAAAAAAAAAAAAAAAAAAAAAAACTGAGGCGAGGAGTACGTGAAGCGGAAGCGCTGAAGGACCTGCTGCACCATGTGTGACTGAGTCAAGGTGATGGTGCGCCGTGCTCTGTCCCGGGTGATCCGCAAGCCAAGATAGCTTGTCAGTTCACCCAGGTCTGTGCACGTGTGTCTCTTCTGCAGCTCCGATTTCACGTGGGCGAGTGCCGCAGTGTCAGCAGTGGCAAAGACCAAGTCGTCGACGTACACGACGATGTAGAACGGCGGCAGCGAGGTGTCGGTGCGTAGAAACAACGACGGGTCAGCAGTAGAAGGAGCGAACCCAAGAGCCGCAAGTGTAGTCCTCAGTGTGTCGTGCCACTCACGTGGCGCCTGTCGGAGACCGTAGACTGGCCGCCGGAGGCTCCACTGGGTACCAGGAGGGAACGACCCAGTGAAGCCAGGTGGGCGGCGCAGCCAGATCTCCTCGTGCAGGCTGCCCTGTAGGAAAGCAGTGCTGAAGTCAAGAGAGTGGAGCTCGTAGTCACGCTGAGCGGCGACGTGCAGCAGAACCCGAAGAGTGGTCATCTTCGGGGTCGGGGAGAAGGTCTGGAAGAAGTCAACTCCCTCTCGCTGACTGAAGCCTCGTGCAACGTAACGCGCCTTGAAGACAGGCGGAGAACCCGGCGGCCGCTTCACCCTGAAAATCCACATGCCACTGACGATGTTCGCCCCAGGTGGGGGAACCTCGTCGACGTAGGTGCCTGTGGACTTCCAGGAAGCCATCTCTGCGTCCATGGCTGTCTGCCACTGAGAGGAGTAGGGACCCTCTATCGCCTCTGCGTAAGAGCGCGGAGTCGGGATGTCTGGTGCATCCGGGTCTCCCTCAGGGGCAACTAGCATGGACACGAGATGAGGTAAAGTAGTGGCAAAGCACTCAAACTCCTCCTGCCTGTCCTCAAGGACGTCCGTGCCAAGAGCACACTCACCCCCGACGGACGGAGGACAGACAGACTCAGACTTAGCAACTAGGCTAGCGGCGTAGTCTAGACGACAAGTGGCAGCAAAGTCGACAAGCTCGGCAACTAAGGCAGACGCAGCAGTGGACTCAAAGGAAGGGTCAGTGACAACAGTAGCCAGGAGACGCGTGACAGTAGGACTGGCAGCACGAAGGGAGTCAGACTCAGGGTCAGCAAGAGCAGGAAGAGAGGACGCAGGAGGAGACGGGAGAGGGACACGCTGGGGAGCAGTGGAAGGACGAAGCGCCATCTGGTGAGTGCCTGGGACAGCAGGAGGACGCTGACGCGGGACACGACGACCAGTGTGAGCAGCACGAACAGGCGACGCTCGACGAGACTCAGGCGACGCAGGACGAGACTCAGGCTCACGACGCTCCGTAAGACCTCCAGTCGGACCAGTGTAAGGAGAAGGACCAGGGAGAGGGGAGTCAGACGGTAACTGTGACTGCGACTGGACAGACGGAGGACACTCTAAGGAGGGAGGAGGACAAGGAGGAGGAGGCTGACCAAGAACCTGCTGAAGGAGCGGAACGAAGTACGGCCGCGGCCGCGCAGCGTCTCCAGAACCAGCAGAGACACCAGCGCCAGGGTCCTCAGCACCAGCAGCAGCTCCACCTCCAGGGTCCTCAGCACCAGCAGCAGCTCCAACTCCAGGGTCCGCAGCACCAGCAGCAGCTCCGACTCCAGGGTCCGCAGCACCAGCAGCAACTCCAACGCCCGGAGCCGCAGCACCAGCCGCACCTCCAGAAGAAGCAGCACCTCCAGCAGCTCCAGCAGCCCCAGCACCAGCAGCACCTCCAGCAGCTCCAGCAGCACCAGCAGTACCACCAGCACCAGCAGCACCTCCAGTAGCGTCAGCAGCACCAGCAGCTCCAGCACCAGCAGTACCTCCAGCAGCGCCAGAAGCACCGCCAACAGCAGAACCTCCAGCAGCTGGGTCCGCGACACTAGGAGCGCCACTCCGAAGACGGCAGCGCCGTGCGTACCACTCTCGGAGCCGCTGGGGAGAGGGCAGCTCCCGCCTAGGAGGGGAAGCACTAGCACCAGCTCCAGCAGTACTCCTGGCTCCAGAAGCACCTCTCCTGAGGCTGCAGTACTGTAAGTACCACTCACGCAGCTGCTGTGAGGAGAGAGCTCCTCCAGGTGTAGCACTCCCAGGCTCAGCACCTCCAGACTCAGCACCCCCAGACTCAGCACCCGCAGGCTCAGCACCCCCAGGCTCCGCACCCCCAGGCTCAGCACCCCCAGACTCCGCAACCCCAGGCTCCGCACCCCCAGACTCCGCAACCCCAGGCTCCGCACCCCCAGGCTCCGCACCCCCAGGCTCCGCACGCTCAGGCTCAGCACCCTCATGCTCAGCACCCCTAGCAGGACGAGAGTCGACAGCTACCTCGACAGGCTCAACCGGGTCTACCTGGGACACACCTGAGGGAGCGGCACCCTGAGGGGGGAGGGGGTCTACCACAGCAGCACCTGGCGCGAGGAAGAGAGGCGGGGGGGGGAAGCGGGGCAGTGCGGTAGGGGAAGAGGCGGTAGTAGGGGACGGACTCGTCGAAAGTGACGTCCTGAGAAGGCAGGACACGGCGCGAGGTGGGGTGGTAAAACTGCCAACCAGACGCGTCCGGGACAAAGCCAAGGAAGACACAAGGAACAGCGCGGGAGGAGAGCTTGTCCGCGGACGTATCGCGAACAAAGGCTCGAGATCCCCAGACCCGAAAGCGTGACGCATCGCCAACCTCTCCTGTCCAACGCAGTGTCGGCGAAGTCTCCGGAACGGAGACACGGGGCCAGAGGTTGAGCTGATGCGCAGCGTATCGGACTGCAAACGGCCACAGAAAGTGGGGGGCAGCCGCATGGATCAAGGAGGTACGAGCGACCTCCATGACCAAGCCAATGCGGCGCTCAGCAACCCCATTCTGCTGTGGAGAGGCCGGAAGCGTGAACGACTGGCGGATGCCGTGCTCCGCACAGTAGGCTGCCAAGAGGTCGGAGGAGAACTCACCACCTCTGTCAGAGTGCAAGCGCAGGACAGGAAAGTCCGAGTGGAAACGCTCGCTGAGCTGGAGACGAGAAGCGCTGATCCAAGGGATCAAAACATCAGGGACCTCACCCTTGGTGCACAAGGGGAAGACCGTGGTGTAGCGCGAGTAGTCGTCAACAACTATCAGGAAGTACCTCTCCTGACCCTGACCACGGACGCGGGCTGGGCCCCACACGTCCATGTGGAGCGTCTGCAAGGGAGCAGTCGTCGGGGGAAACGAGGAGGAGTGAGGAGCGGCGCGCTGCCGCCCCTCGACACAGGGAAGACAGGGAGGAGCAGGCGAGGGTGGGAGGGGAGGGAGAACCCTGGGAAGACCAGAGACAAGGTACCGTTTGTGCATGGCACGAAGGCGCTGCACGGACGGGTGACCAAGTCGGTGGTGCCAGAGGACGGTCTCGTGCGCCAGAGAGCGACACGAGCAGGGGGCCGACAGCTGACCTGACGCAGACGCAGACGCAGCTACCTGAGGGGACTCAGTGGTCAGTGTGTACAGGTCCGACCCCGGCTGCCGAGTGAAGGTAGCCAGGTGACGGCCCGTCCGAGCACACGTGCAGTGTGTCACGCGCTCGTAGGCAGGGGTGAACTGGTGAACACCCCCGTCCTGGAGCGCACAACCCGCCACCAAGTTCGTAGAGAACGAGGGGAGGTGGAGACCTGACAGTGTGCCCGACGGGACCGCAGGACAAGGAAGGACAGTGGAGGAGGTCGCAATGACCGGACCCCCAGAGGGGTCAGCGAGGGAGACAGCAACTGGCCGAGCAAGCGGCTCAAGGGAAGTGCGGTCACGAAAGAAACAGCGAGAAGCACCTGAGTCCAGAGTGAAGGTGTGCAGTGCCTCAGTCGACTCAGTACCAGGGGGCGCAGACTCACGAGCACCTAGAGCAGCAGCCTCACCAGCACCTGGGGTAGCAGACACGCGAGTATCGGGAGTGGTAGCCTCACCAGCACCTAGGGCAACAGACGCACTAGCACCTAGAGCGGCAGCCTCACTCACAGGACACGGCAGCTGCACCTGTCCACTACCAGAAGCTCCCGAACGACGCACTCCAGAGCGACTGCCACTACGGCCACCCCGACAGCCCCAACTGGCGTACCACTCACGAAGCTGCTGGGGCGAGAGAGGACACGGCAGCTGCACCTGTCCACTACCAGAAGCTCCCAACCGACCCACTCCAGAGCGACTACCACTACGGCCACCCCGACAGCCCCAACTAGCGTACCACGCACGAAGCTGCTGGGGCGAAAGAGGACACGGCAGCTGCACCTGTCCACTACCAGAAGCTCCCAACCAACCCACTCCAGAGCGACTACCACTACGGCCACCCCGACAGCCCCAACTAGCGTACCACGCACGAAGCTGCTGGGGCGAAAGAGGACACGGCAGCTACACCTGTCCACTACCAGAAGCTCCCGACCGACCCACTCCAGAGCGACTACCACTACGGCCACCCCGACAGCCCCAACTAGCGTACCACTCACGAAGCTGCTGGGGCGTGAGGGACTCACGCGCACGGCCCTGGAGCTGCATCTGGCCACGCCAGGAGCAGCAGTAGCAGCAGTAGCGGCAGTAACAGCAGTAACAGCAGGAGCGGTAGCAGTGGGAGTAGAAAAGGCAGTAGCAGCAGTAGCAGCGGTAGCAGTGCTGGCAGGGCAATGCTCACCAGTGGTCGGCGCGGCAGGCGCAAGACGGTGGCGACAGCGGGGCCGCTACAACTGCAGGGCGGGGCCGGGCCGCAGCAGGGAGCTCCGCGGCAGCTGCTGCAGGGCGAGGCCGGGCCGCGACGGCAGCTGCTCCAGGTGCCAGGGGCGGCTGCTGCAGTGGCGGCTGCTCCAGGGGCCAGGGGCGGCTGCTGCAGCGGTGGTTGCTCCAGGGGCCAGGGGCGGCTGCTGCAGGGGCGGCTGCTCCAGGGGCGAGGGGCGGCTCCTGCAGTGGCGGCTGCTCCAGTGGCCAGGGGCGGCTGCTGCAGGGGCGGCTGCTCCAGAGGCCAGGCGCGGATTAGGTCAGGGCGACGCGGCGAGCAGGGCGACGCGGCGGGCAGGTGGCGACGCCGCGGGCAGGGCGACGCGGCGGGCAGGTGACGACGCCGCGAGCAGGGCGACGCCGCGAGCAGGTGGCGACGCCGCGGGCAGGGCGACGCGGCGGGCAGGTGACGACGCGGCGAGCAGGGCGACGCGGCGGGCAGGTGACGACGCCGCGGGCTGGGCGACGCGGCGAGCAGGTGACGACGCCGCTGTTACGATAAGAATGAATTGATAGAAAATGTGAAGTACAACCCTAGATATAGCAAACCCTAATCATGCAAGTAAGTAGAAACGTAACACCTAGACTAACCTAAACAACACATATAAAATATATGTTGACACACCCCCATAGTCTAGGTGACGGAAGTCCTGTAGAAACAACAAGAGCAAGCAACGGTCACAAGACCAGTCTACAAGAACAAGACAAATCTCAGGGTGGAGCTCAAAGTCACCACACACTCCGAGAGCAAGCAAGGGGCCACAAGGCCAGTCCACATGCAGGTATATAGCAAATATAAAGAGATGCAAGAGTACAAGACATGCAGAACAAGGCATCTCTAAGCAAGCAAGTGAGGACGGGCAGGCACAAGGCCAAGCTGGGTGCAGAAACGCTGGTGGTCACAAGGCGGCAACGCCTTGGTGAAGATATCTGCCGTGTTTGCCTCAGAGACCACACGTCGAACGAGTGCCTGTCCACACTGCTGCAACTCACGCAGAAGGAAGTAACGAAGCTGGATGTGCTTCGCCTTCCCAACCAGTCGGGGCTCCTCATACAACAGGACAGCAGACCTGTTGTCGGCGAACAAGACTGGGGGAGAGCGAGGCCGCTCACCAAGGTCGGTGAGAAGGAAAGACAGCCAGCGAAGCTCCTGAGCGGCCATGGCCGCAGCGTACACCTCTGCCTCACAGCTGGAACCGGCGACAGACGACGCCCGAGTCGACCGCCACGAAACAGCACCTGCCCCGAGGCTAAAGGAGTACCCCTGTGTAGACCGACGCGTCTCCGCGTCGTCGGCCCACGACGAGTCCGAGTAACCTGTGAGTGTAACTGGCTGCTTCCCTCCAAGGACAAGTCCCATGCCTGATGTACTCGCCACATACTTCGCCACCCTCTTAGCAGCGTACCAGTGGGAAGGTCGGTGTCTCCCAGGCGCAACAAAGCGCGCAAGGACGCTAAGAGGGTAAGCTAGGTCTGGGCGAGTACAGGTCATCAGGTACATGAGACAACCCACCAGCTCAGGATATGGACCACTGGACTCAAATGACTCGTCCGAAGGTGGAGCCGTGAGCCCATGATCCACACCAAGAGGGGTGAGCTGTACCTTGGAGAACGGGAAGCGAAACCGCGTGAGGATCTGCTCGACCATATGCGACTGAGTCAGCGTAATGGTGCGAGCTGCCCTGTCCCTGGTGATCTGCAGGCCAAGGTAGTGCTGCAGCTCACCAAGGTCAGTGCAAGTGTGTCTCCTCTGCAGTTCCTCCTTCACGGAGGCCAGCGCGCGTCGGTCGGGAGTGGCGAACACTAGGTCGTCGACGTAGACCAGGACAAAGAACGGGGTCGAGCCACGGCGAACGAACAGTGACGGGTCAGCAGACGACGGAAAGAAGTCAAGAGCTGCAAGGGTCGAGCGAAGTGTGTTGTGCCACTCACGTGGGGCCTGACGCAGGCCGTAGACTGGTCGACGCAGCTGCCACTGGGTCCCAGGTGGGAAAGAGCCAGTGAAGCCAGGCGGGCGACGCAGCCAGATCTGCTCGTGCAGGCTCCCCTGAAGGAACGCGGTGGAAAAGTCCAAGGAGTGCAACTCGTAGTCGCGCTGGGCTGCAATATGCAGCAACACCCGAAGAGTACTCATCTTCGGGGTGGGAGCGAAGGTCTGGAAGAAGTCCACCCCCTCTCGCTGACTGAAGCCTCTCGCAACATAGCGTGCCTTGAACACAGGTGGTGATCCAGGCGGCCGCTTCACCTTGTAGAGCCATCGGCTTCTGACGACATTCGTCCCAAGTGGTGGGACTGCGTCGACGTAAGTGCCTGTGGACCTATAAGATGCCATCTCTGCCTCCTCAGCTGCTATCCAGTACGAAGCCCAGGGTCCCGAGACCGCCTCGGCGTGAGTGCGAGGGATCGGGATGTCAAGGGCGTCTGGATCCCCCTCAGGGGCAAGCAGCATGGCGCAGAGATGAGGAACAGCGGCCGCAAGAAAACCAAGCTCGAACTGCCTGTCCTCTACGACCTCCAGGGGAAAGACAGGAGCACCCCCAGAGGACGGAGAACGTGCAGGGCCACTCACCAAGTGAGCGGCGTAGTCAAGGCGGTGGGAAGAGGCAAAGCCAGAGACAGTGGTAACAAGTGCTGAGACAGACGACAGAGGTGCAGTCGGGTGAGTGACCAACGCGGACAAAACACGGGAGACGACAGGACGGGAGGCACGGAGGTAGTCGGACAACGGGTCGTGAGGGACGACTCAGGGGGCTATGGGCAGGAGGAGGTGGAACACGAGAGCGGAGAACAAGGTGAAACGGACCGTCTGCACGGTAACGGGACCGACGGGGCTGTGGAGACACAGCACGACTGAGGGGAGGACGACGAGTCCACTGGGAGGAGGAAAGGGACTCAACTGGTGGAACAGGAGGGGACGACAGGGGACCACGAACAAAGCGTGCAGGTGCTGGGTCGGGGAGGTCGCGTAGTCGCAGTCGCTGCTGCTCCGCCTCCTCTGGCGTCTGCTGCGACGGTACCGGCCCCTGCTGCTGCTCCTGTGGCTCCGCCTCTGCCCTCTCCTGCTGCGGCTGCAGCTGTACCCGCTGCTGCGACCGGGACTCCTGCGCTACCCTCTCCTGCTGCTGCCGTGACTCCTCCTCTACTCTCTCCTGCTGCGTCTGGAACTGCACCTGCTGCTGCGGGTGGGACTCCTGCTCTACCCTCTCCTGGTGCGGCCGTGACTGCTCCTCTACTCTCTCCTGCTGTGTCTGTAACTGCACCTGCTGCTGCGGGCGGGACTCCTGCTCTACCCTCTCCTGGTGCGGCCGTGACTCCTCCTCTACCCTCTCCTGCTGCGGCTGCAGCTGCACCCGCTGCTGCGACCGGGACTCCTGCGCTACCCTCTCGTGCTGCTGCTGTGACTCCTCCTCTACTCTCTCCTGCTGCTGCTGCTGCTGCTGCTGCTGCTGCTGCTGTGCCCTCTCAAATCGCTCACGCTCCTCCCTCTCCAACCGGAGGAGACGCTGCTCACGGGTCAGGAAACGTACAGTGCGCGGTGTAGGCGCCACAGTGCCAGTGCCTCCAGCTCCAGCACCCCCAGAACCAGCACCTCCACCACCAACACCCCCGGGGCCTCCAGTACCTCCCGCAGGAACACCCCCAGGCTCCGCAGCAACCGACCGCAGAGAAGAAGGAGGAGGAAACTGCGGGACGGACGGGAAGCCAGGGGGTGAGGCAGGGCGAGGCCGCCGAGTCGAGGCTGCCGTGTCCTCCACAGGAGTGACCTCCACGCCCACAACCCCTGCACCCCCAGAGCCGGCACCACCAGCTCCTGCAGCCCCAGTACCCTCACCCTCCGCAACTGCACCTCCCGCACCCCCAGACACGACAGGGACTGGACGCTGCGGGGGGGAAGACTGCGGAGTGACGTGCGACACACCTGACGGGGCAGGACGCGAAGGGGGGGGGGCTACCGGGGCGACTGGTGGGGGCTCAAGGGTGAGGAACAGCGGGGGGGAAAAGGCCTGAGTACCTCGGTGGGGGCGACTCCTGTAGTAACAGACAGACTCGTCGAACGTGACGTCCTGCGAAGCGAAGAACTGGTAGGTGACCGGGTCGTAGAACACCCAGCCGGAGGCGTCCAAAGGGAAGCCAAGAAAGACGCAGGCACGAGTGCGCGGAGACAACTTGTTCGCGCCAGGGGCGCGAACGTGAGCCAGACAACCCCAGACGCGGAAGTCAGCTGCTACGCCCGGAGAACCTGTCCAAAGGGAGACCGGCGTCACCCTTGGCCGTGCGTCACTGGGCCACAGGTTCAGCTGGTGCGCGGCGTAGCGGACTGCCTGGGGCCACAAGAACTGGGGGGCACCGGCATGGCACATGGAGGTCCGGGCAACCTCCATGACCAGGCCGATGCGTCGCTCGGCTACCCCGTTCTGCTGCGGTGATGCTGGTAGCGTGTAAGACTGGATGATCCCCCGACCCTGACAGAACGTCTCCAGGCGAGTGGAAGAAAACTCACCACCACGGTCCGAGTGTAGGCGAAGCCCACACAGGCCCTGGGCGCCACCCCACGCTAGTAGCCACGGCTCGAGGACGGTAGGCACGTCGGCCTTCCGTCGCAAGGGGAAAACCGTGGTGTAGCGGGAGTAGTCGTCCACCACAATCAGGAAGTAGCGCTCCTGACGTGGGCCAAGGACCGGAGAGGGGCCCCAGACGTCCAAGTGCAGGGTCTCGAAGGGAGCCGTGGTGGGGGGGAACGAGGAGGAGTGAGGGGCAGCGCGCTGCCGACCCTCGACCCAAGGAGT